GGAGCCGCCGTGGGCACGGTCGTTCGCTGGCCCCGGTGGCCACTCGGGCAGGGACGTGGTGGCGGTGGCAGGTCGCGATGCTGTGTCAGCGTGCCGGGGCACCGCGCTGTGTCCTGCGCACACCAGCATAGCGGGTGGCCAGGACCCCCCCAGAACGCCTCGTCTGGGGCAACAGGTCTTCCCCCGGGCACCACAGGTGGGGGCAGCATCAAACCATCACATAGAAAAACACCTCTGTGCTGTGGGTGGGTTAGTTTCCTCCCTCTCCCCCCAACAAAAAGTCAAGGAAAGGCTCTCCCTCCTTTTTTTACCCCCTCCACCAATTGCCCCCCCCCCGCAGTTTGCAGCCCTGCACGGGGGGGAGCCTGGAGGTGCTGACCCCCCCGGGGTGGGTTTGGTGCTCCCCAGAAGCTGCAGACCCCCTCAGGGTGCTGAGGCGGGTGGGGCAGGGCTCTGGCCGGTGCCGGAAGAGTTAATGCTCCCGAAATGCCATGAAATGTTCCTGCTGCAGGTCAGTCTCCACCGGGGATTAGGGAAATCTGGCCGGGGAGCCAGGGCTGGCTCCTGCCAGCTTAGGGCCGGCTGCGGGACGTGCTCGGGGAGGCAGCGGCGGGATTGAAGCCCAGGCACAGCGTGCGGAGCCGTCCCGCCAGGGGCTGGCACGGCCAGGCGCTGCCTTCCAGCCCAGAAAAATACGTTCTGGCCCCAAATCAGTGGGAGCCACCGCCGGGCCAGGTGAGCCCTTCGGGGTGGCTGGGTGGGCACCCAGGGTCCCGTGCTGGGCATCGCCCGTCATCGTGGGATGACGCAGGGACGAGCAGGACGGACACGTGCTGGCAGGTGCCAGGGGCTGGCACCCTGGTCCTGGGCTGCCTTTGCCCGGGGGGTGCCAGGCAGTGGGGTGAGGGGCTCCCAGGGCAGCCCCGCAGGGTGGGCTCGCCATGTCTCCCTGCCGGTGGCCCTCTCCGAGTGGACAACAGGCTCTGGCTGTTTTCTCATCCCGCAGGAATTCGGCTCCGTGGGCCGGGCAGGTTTTTTTTTTTTTGTGTCTGTCCTTCCCCCCCCTCCTCCTTTCACTCTCCCTCTTTGGAGACTTTCCGCATTCTGCCTTTGATCTCCCCCCGTGTTTGCCCAGCCGATCGCTGGGCTCGCCGGGGTTAGAGGCTGAGGTCAGCGCCTTTCCCATTCCAAACACCCAGAAACATCAGTGGGAAGGGAGGGGATTCAGATTACAACCTTCCCGTCCTCCCCTTCCACCCCACTCGCCCCGCTCGCCGCAGCCGGCGATGCGCTGAGCCCCTTCTCGCCCAGGACACCGCTGCCACCGCGGCCCCCGCACCCCGAGAGCGCGGCGGCGATGGATGGAGGTGCCCGGCAGCATCGCCAACGGGCCGGCAGGCGCTGGGCGTGCTGAAGGGCAGAGGTTTGGTCCTCTCCTCCTCCTCCTCCTCCTCTTTGTCCCCCCCCCCGCCCGCCTTCTCCCTCGTCCCCTCCATCCTGAATGTGATTTATCCCCAGCCCTCGCCAGCGAGCCAGGCCGGTGGCGTGGGCTGGCCAGATGGCTCCTCGTGGGACTTTCGGCCGGCCAGGCCGGGGGCAGCGAGCGGGCGGGGGGCAACGTGCCCCCCTGGGCGTCCCCCCGCTCCTCCTGCCTTTGCTGGCGGCA